CCCCCCCCCCCTTCCTCCGGTTGTGGCCCTTTAGGCTAGACAGGGGAGACTGCACTCGGCTCTTATCAAGGTTATTGGGCTCAGCTGACTGCTTGTGATCTGGAGCCGCGAAGGCCGATTCCCATCCCGGATCTCATACAAAGGGCCCATTGTGAGGTCCAATCATCCCATTGCCAACCCAGAACTCTCCAACCACATCCACTGCCAAGCTGGCCACCAAGGGGTTAAATCCCCAAAGGCAAGTCTCTGGAGGGAGCCAACAAACCAATCAAAGAGCCCCATTGATGAGTGAAATGTCACATTAACGGCCCATCGGTCCATGAAGAGCGTGTAGGCTGACCTCATTTTGGAAATGCCAATCTGTCTGGCTGTCATGTCGATCCTTTCCCCCCAGTACTCTATGCAGACCGGGAGATCCGACTTTACGGGGTCACTCATTACTACAGCTCAGCTTAGAAGCTATTGAAGCCGGAGGACAAACATAACAGAGGGGCCGCATACATATCCCCCTTTTTAAAACATTTTGTGGCCCCCCCCCCCCCCCCCCTTCCAGTCCTGGTGGGATCCCATGGTTGTCCTGTGACAGGGCCTCTCTTTCCGTAGCGCAGTGTTTTAGGCCGCGGTTCGGCTTCACCACACAGGGAGTGGTTTCCGTTCTCTATATATACATGGAGAGGAAGCCGCGTCCCTGCCGGGGAGTTAACCCCTGCTCTGCCGCCGGCCTGCGCCGCTGTAAGGGTTTCACAATGACACAAATATGGTTTTATTTCCAGTTAAAACGGCCCAGATCCGGCTGGCCGACCCAAGTGCTTATTATTATTATAATGGAGGGTTTATATCGTGCCAACGCACACCGCAAAGAGCCAGAACCAATCAGAGCTTAGCTAAAGCAACACAGCGCTGGTGTAACGAGGTCACCCAAGGACACCATCATCGCTACCAGCCCTTTGTTTCTTGTCCAGTGACTGGTCCTCGTTTCCTGCCTCTCCCAGTGCCCGATTCCTCTTCTATTGTCCCGTGACTGGTCCTCATTCCCTAATCCTCTCCCAGTGCCCCATTCCCTAATCCTCTCCCAGTGCCCGATGCATCTTCTCTTGTCTGGTGACAGGTCCTCATTCCCTAATCCTCTCCCAGTGCCCGATTCCTCTTCTATTGTCCAGTGACTGGTCCTCATTCCCTAATCCTCTCCCAGTGCCCGATTCCCTAATCCTCTCCCAGTGCCCGATGCATCTTCTCTTGTCCGGTGACAGGTCCTCATTCCCTAATCCTCTCCCAGTGCCCGATTCCTCTTCTATTGTCCCGTGACTGGTCCTCATTCCCTAATCCTCTCCCAGTGCCCGATTCCCTAATCCTCTCCCAGTGCCCGATTCCTCTTCTATTGTCCCGTGACTGGTCCTCATTCCCTAATCCACTCCCAGTGCCCGATTCCTCTTCTATTGTCCCGTGACTGGTCCTCATTCCCTAATCCTCTCCCAGTGCCCGATTCCCTAATCCTCTCCCAGTGCCCGATGCATCTTCTCTTGTCTGGTGACAGGTCCTCATTCCCTAATCCTCTCCCAGTGCCCGATTCCTCTTCTCTTGTTCAGTGACTGGTCCTCATTCCCTAATCCTCTCCCAGTGCCCGATTCCCTAATCCTCTCCCAGTGCCCGATGCATCTTCTCTTGTCTGGTGACAGGTCCTCATTCCCTAATCCTCTCCCAGTGCCCGATGCCTCTTCTCTTGTCCAGTGACAGGTCCTCATTCCCTGCCCCCCTCCCAGTGCCCGATGCTCTTCTCTTGTCCAGTGACAGGTCCTCATTTCCTGCCCTTCTCCAGGTACCTGATACCTCTTCTATTGCCTGAGAACAGGTCCTCATTTCCTGCCCCTCTCCCAGTGCCCGATGCCTCCTCTATTGTCCAGTGACTGGTTCGCATTTCCTAATCCTCTCCCAGTGCCCATTGCCTCTTCTGTTGTCCAGTGACTGGTCCTGATGCCCCTCTCCCAGTGCCCATTGCCTCTTCAGTTGCCCAGTGACTGGTCCTCATTTCCTGCCCTTCTCCAGGTACCTGATACCTCTTCTATTGCCTGAGAACACGTCCTCATTTCCTGCCCCTCTCCCAGTACCAGATGCCTTTTCTCTTGTCCAATAACAGGTCCTCATTCTTTGCCCCGGTACCCATTGTCTTTTCTCTTGTGCGATGACCTGACCCTTCTTCTTTTGTTCTCTTGACAGGTCCTCATTCCCTGCCCCTCTTCTGGTACTCTTGTCCAGTGACAGGTCCTCATTCCCTGCCCCTCTTCTGGTACTCTTGTCCAGTGACAGGTCCTCATTCCCCGCCCCTCTTCTGGTACTCTTGTCCGGTGACAGGTCCTCATTCCCTTCCCCTCTTCCGGTACCCAACGCCTCTTCTGTTTGGTGATAGGTCCTTATTCCCCCCGGTACCCAGTGCCTCTTCTCTTGTCTGGTCACAGATCCTCTTTCCCTGACCTTCTCCTGGCCGGTGACAGGTCCTCATTTTTGGCTCCGCCCCTAGCACCCAGGATAGGTCTCCGGTGACATTCTATGGCAGGGTGTCCATTTCTGACAATATGGTGGGTGGCTGACCTCGGCATATCGGCCCGGACTGATATTACACGGCCACACATGGCCCTAACAATCTTATTGTCTATCGCGGCCAATAGGGAAGATTGTCCTCTTTAGAAGGTAATTAAGTGACAGAGGGGGTTCTGGGAAACCACAACATGGCCGCCGCACAGGAAGTTGCTCTGTGAGGTGAGGGGTGTGGCGGCCTTGCAGAAGCTCATTATACGGGAAGTAATAGAGATGTATAGAGGGAAACTGACACTTCAGAGAGTGGACGGGTCATATACATCGAAATCTTCACCTCGCCCGGGGCCGCGGCCGTCTAGAGTGAAGTCTGGCGCCGTCTCTGGCGGCCATGTTGTATGTAGAAAACCATTTTCCTGAAGTGGAATCCGTCATATTTTAGTTTTTGAAGAATTCCGGGATTTAAATATAACCTCAGTTCAGCTGCTTTATATGCAATGCCACATACCAGCAGAAATATGAAATCATGCTTGCAGTGCCTCCTGTTGGAGGAGAGTTGAAGTAACTGGTTCCAGCTATACCAGTGTGCCAATGCTCACTGAAGTTGGGAGGAAGGAGGGGCGGAGTCCTGAAAAGTGTGGTCACCCTCTGTAGGGCACATCTGTGGGGGTGGTAAAATGGCTCCATGATATGTTTAGCTGTGTGGAACC